AAGCAACAACAATAGTGTCAGCTGGCAGGCTAATTTCTTGCAAAAATCACAGGCAAACAAAGTATGAACAGGTTGGTCTTCCAGTCCAGTAGGATAACAAAGGAGACATCTGTGCCTGGGGATGTCCATTTTCCTCCAGTTGCAGAGGGAGAGGGAGGGAGGTACCCAAAGATTACCTTGCTGATAAGTGTAGATCACCCTGGTTATAGCAGTGCTGCTAACAAACTCTGTGGTAAACCTTCCTGCAACACAGTATCAGGAAGGCCACCTTCTGATACTCCTTTCCTTTTCCTAAAGCATTTTTAAATGGGACTTTTTAACCATTTCTTAGCCTCAACAATATGTTGGCCATTGTGAGAGTCTGTCCAGAGGACCTAAAACCTCAGAGGTGCTGGCACGGCAGATGCAGAGGAGCAGCTGTGGGGAGGAGCAGACCTATTTACCTTGTGTGCTGCTTAACCATATAAATGTCTTGAGCACAGAGGAAACTTGCAGTCAGTTTGGTGCAAACAAAATATTTCAGCATAATTTTAGTAATTAAAGAGGAATGCTGTTTTTAACTAAACATCTGTTACCTTTTTCTGATTGAATTAAATAGTCATAAACCTCTGAGGCTCACTATTACTCTCTCTTCCTTTCTATCTTAAATCTCTTTTCCTGCTGTCTGTTTTATCAATCAGTGATTGTGCCTGGGGATTTTGCAGTGTCTCTTTTTGATCAGACTAGAAATGTTTGTTGCTAGATTTCTTGCTCTCTGAAGCCTTGCACACACAAAACAATCTTTTAAAGCTACTCAGCAGAACTTTTTGTGGCAGCAGCTGCCTGCCCTTCTCTGCTGATGCACCACCACTGCCCTAACCTCTGTGGAGGGACTGATCCTGGAAATATTTTGATCCTGATATGAATAAGGCTGCCAGTAGAAGCAGACAATGCTTTGCCATCATACAGTGGTATCTAACACACAGGAGCATGGACGTAGGCTTTCTCTGAATTGCAACAATGCTTCACCTGCTCTGCGAATTGTGTTGAAGCAGTGTAAAGTGCTGTGACCAAAGCAGATGCAGGCAAAACCATTTAACTCTGTACCCTATCAAAAAATTTGATTGTTACCATCTTCCCCCTGAAGAGCCATCATAAGCAGTAGGTGGTGATGTCTGAAAACTGCACGACCTGATTACATAGTAGTAGATCATAGTAGGGCTGCTCTTCCAGCCTTCTGTCTCTTCAGATCATTTTCTGTTGCTTTCTCATCACCTTATCGTCATCGACCTTCTGTGTTTTTCTCTCTGCACTCTTCAAATATTTCTGTATTAGTGTTTTAGGTCACCTAAGTGAAGCTGGAAGAAAAACTGATTATGAAAGAGCAACAGCGATAGTCAGCTGAGCAGCACAAAGCCGTGTACCCAACCCCACTAGGTTCCCTCGAATGTAAGAGCCTAGCCTCACCTGACCTGTGGCCCCAAGCAGTCCTGCCTTTGTAGTGCTTCAAATTTGCTGCAAATAGGTCACCCTATCTAAGAAAGGCTATAAAAAAAGAATCCTAAACATTTTCATTTCTGAACTGGCAATAATCTTGGACAGTGCATAATAGAGCCTATAAATAGCACTTTGAGTGTCTGTGATGTCACAAACCACAAGAGCGTCTCACTTGTGATTTATTACATCAGAATCATGACTTGTTCATAGGCTTGTAGTTTGCAGTTTATTTACAGTCCGTACACCCACTATTATTCCTAAGCCATCAGTGTTATGCAGATATATAAATGCTGCCTGGAACTGAAACAGTAAACAACCAATTAAAAGTTCAACCTCCTCCTTTCTGATCTCTTCCTATGTGATTAACTGAGGATGCTGTTGCATAAATTACAGTCGTGTCAGATAATGAAAAATTGGTGTTCTTTCATTCGCCTGTGTATCACATTTACACTAAAAAACACTTGTAGAATTTTTAAAATATTTATTCTCAAAAATAATTTCTCATTAAAACTGCATTCATTTAGAGACAATTTCTTTCCTTTTCTTCACTGCAAGATTGTTGTTTTACAAGACTTCCTAGAATAAAACATCAAAAGCTAATTTCTGGAATTTAATGAAAAAAGAATTTTAATTCTTTTTATAGTTCTGCACTGCACACATATATGTACAAATTGGTTTATCTAAACAGCAGCTTGAAAAACCAGAATTGGACAATGTAATTAGGAAGGGAAAAGCTTGCTATTCAGATCAATTAAGCTAAGTAACATTCAATTTTTATGTCACATCTTTTTGGCAGAGGGGGTAATCTCATTTACTTTGACCACATTTTGGAAGAGGTCTCAGTTAAGATTTAAATACCAATATAAACCCCAGGCCTTAATGAATCCTGAATGTAATGATTTTAAGATTGGAAAAATTCTTTGTTCCACTCCCTATCTATATCACTGATTATTATTACAAGATTATTTGGTTTTGAATAGCCCATTTGCAGAGAAAGGCACTCACCTAAAAATCTACAGAAAGAACTAAGCTATTTCAACCAGTCTTTTTTCAACTACATGCATTTTAAAATAAAGAAAATCCCACCCTGAGAAAAATGTGTGATTATATTCAGGTACCTAAAAACTGGTATATCCGGGTATCTCAGAGTGGACAAGAGAGTAACTGTATCATTCAGAAATGGCAAAATGGGAAATAATTTATACAGGTCCTCTCAATTGAGTATCAGTGGACCTGGCTGGTATCAAAGATTACTGTAAAGCACTTCTAAACATATTGTTCTGATTTACTCCCTCACTTTTAAAAAAATCCCTTAGGTGAATCTAAGGCTTTAGGAGAAGAAAAATAATTACCAATACTAATGTCCTGTACAATACCTGGCTCTATGCCTCATTGTTTCATAGTCTGTGATCTTAAAAATGTACTCCTCAGAACAGAAACTCCTTTTGTATTCTCACAGTACAAAGTACCCTAACCCAGCTGGTCAAAGGCAATCAAACACTACATGTCAGTGGGATTTGCAAGACAGACACAAAGGAAACTTTTCTGTAACCAGCTGGCTCTTTCTAAACATTCATTTGCATTAAAAGATTTACAGTGTTAACGGCCCTTACTGGAGTTGGAACTGAGTGCATATAAGATGGTTCAAGGTGCATGAGAAATCAAGTTTATTGAAGTCTTCTCTGTACAGATTTTGCATTAAATACCTAATCTTATTTTTAAGTAGTGAGTTGGCTAGCTAAGGTGTACCAGTGGCCATGAAAGAGAAATCTAATGCACAGTGTGTTAGCAGTACTTCTTCTAGTTGAGTTTATATACATCTGTAGGTGGCCTCAAAGCTGGGTTTTATTAATTGTGATCTGCTTTTCTATATGAGTGTTTCCAGACTCTTGCTGGGGTAGGCAGAGAGTTTAGTGGAGATCATGAGAGAGCCATGTGCTTGCTGTCTCTGAAAAGAAGAGACACAAGGTGCCTTAAATGGAAGAAGAAAGCTTATCTTTGTTCAAAGAAAAAATATTTGTGTACACTGGTACTAATCTCAGGTGTTTAGTCATCAAGGAAGAAACCTTCAAAATTCAGAAATCAAACGATTAAGCAAATAAATAAATAAATAGAGAAAAAAAAATTAATGCTCCCTGACTATGAGGGACATTGGTGAAGAGAATTCTGTTTTCAGGACTTTTTACGCAGTCATGACAGCTCAAATCCCATTTCCCTTTGATCGAAGTACCTAAGTAACCCCTTGATACCGGGAATTGCAGCTCTAAGGAAAATATTGCAAAACTTTCCTGTATTGCAACTATGCAGATTTTTTTTGTATCATCCGGTTGCTGGCCCACTGCCACTGGCACAGAGCAGTGCTGGAGGCTGACCGGGTGCCTTCCACAAGTACCCACTGTGGATCTTCCTATGTCTCACCATATCCCTGGACATGTGGTAGCAGCTACTGTCAGAACCTGGGCAATGACTAAACAAGCCTCTGCTGGCACCTTTCTAATGTCTTATTTTGGATTTAGAAGGGTTAATAAATACACTGATTTGTTTTTCCTCCTCTGTAATTAGATCCCAGAGTAAAAATGTCTTAAGCCTCAAGTACATCCTCAAACTCCTGAACAATAGAAGCTGTGTTAAAAAACCCAAAACAACTGTCTTCCTGGGAAGGATGGATGTTCGGCAGTGATTCTCAGCTGGGTTTCTGGTGTGAGCCTTGCATGGCCTGGCTGGGGGCACCGAGGGGGCTGCCTGTGACTGCGGGGGCACCTCCTGCTTACCTGGGCTGGGCTCCTGCCAAGCAGGTGTTTGTGGCTCAAAAACTGGCAGGGTGCTCTGTAGCAATGTGGAGAGGTGTTGAGGAAGGGGGAGCCTGGGCAGGTGGGTGAGCAGCTTGCTCACTGCTGAAAGAAGTGGCTTCTTTCCAGCTTGGCAGAGGGATAGGGTGGACAGATGCTCTACACTTGCCCAATTTATCTTCTGGAGAGGTGCCTTCCCTCTCTGGGTCTGTCAGCTCCCCTGCACTAAAAATACCTCCCTGAAACATGCACTCCTGTGCACTCAGTTGTGCAGAGAACCTGACCCTCAGCTCAGCTGGCAGAAATCAGTCTTCTGTGTTCTTCAGGAAGGGCACAATCAGCTGCCCAGAACCATTATCAAAAGAATTGGGACACAGAATTGCACAACCCAGCCTCTCCTCTCTTCCTCCTCCCTCTGACTCAACAAGTGGTGTAAGTTCCAAACAGCATCCTTATCCTACAAGTGTGTTTAATTTCCCTAACAAATTGAGGTATTAGGGATCTTAAACCCCAGATGTTTCTCAGAGTTATGTAAACCAAGAGGCACCCAGATGCTAATGTAAGAGCAGAGGGAAATTCCCTTTGGGAACATGTGCCTGGCCCATGGATGTAATGGGCTGACAAGCAGTGTTATTCAAACTGAGACATGCAACCCGCTGAGACAGCAAAAGCCCAAGGCAAGAAGAATGAGGTGAAGGTGTAAAGTGACACACTGTTCCTTTTCTTTTTCCTCAGGAGGGCCTTGGAAAAATTAGAATATACTACAGCTATACCTTTCAAATCAAGAGTCAAGTTCTCCTGTGCATGAACTCAGGCAAACAGTAGAAAGCGGCCTACATGACAAGAAGTATCAGAAGAAATAAGATGTAACAAAACAGGTAAATGTTAACAGTGTTTCCCAGTGTACTGTATTTCATTTTCCCCTCCTTGTCGCAGTCCCCTTTTGAGATAAAGAATTGTCAACTGGAAAAGAAGAAATTTCCTCTTGTTTGTTGCATTAGGGCATATAGGAAGGCTTGAAAAATTTTAGGAATTCGAAAATTACTGTCTATTTTTAGAACTGTCACAAACACTAAGTCTGTTTCCCAGAGGTCTTTCGTGGTGACCTTCAGATGTTGGCTATGAAGTCTTTGAATTCTTAGAGAAAGTAGCTGGGTCTTTTTTCCCTTCCAACCGCTTATTTTGTCCTTTCAATTGAAGAGATGTTAACGAACACACGTTGTTATAAACAGCTGTTCCTGCCTTGTACTAGAGGTCATCTCTACCATAATAACTCTGCTGAAAAGAAAAAAATTATCTCCCAGTGTGGGTTCAGTCCTGTGTGAACTTTTGCTTTCCTTTCTTCTGCAAGGCTCTGTCCCTCACCCAGAATGGGCAGCCTGCCCCTCTCTATCCTGGAATGTCCTGTATTACAGGCATCAGTGACACAACCTAGTCTTATCTTGTACTAGGAAATTATAGAGCTATCAAGAGGGCGGAAAATACCTTTTCTCTCCCTCTCCTCCCACCAGTCAACTGCAATCAGCACAAGCTTTACTGTAAATGCAGTTGTAAGAGGAAAAAGCAGCCACAGGAGGCTTTTTGCTGGTGTGGTTTATTATTACTGAGAAAATAAACTCCAAATGCAGTACTGAGATTTGCTGGTTACACCATTGCCCCTCTAACTGTATCTTGTTTAGTGGAGGCAAAAAATGAGATTAGAAACTGTGCAACCAGTGAGGCAGGATTTTATTAAATGCTGCAGCACCTTGAGGAGTGAAGGAAATGAGCTATAGGTACCTAATAAAAGCACTTCATAATGTTTTGAGGACATCCACATGTGTATGGGGCCTTTCCAAAGGGACCTTCAGAAAACTCTGTTTGTCTCTTCTCATTCTATCTCACCTCTGTTGAGATACCAAGGAATCCAGGGCTGGGCTATCATTGGGCCTTTCTGGCTGAAGGATACTGACTGCAATAGTGTCTGACTCAGTTTCAGCCTAGTGGCCTCCTGAAACTCAATATGTGCCAGATATGAGGAGCTCTTCATCATGCAGGTATCTCCAAAGGACCAAATTGAGGCCAACTTATCCTGGCATGTAGAGTACTAATCTGAGTCACCATTGAGTCTCACCAGACCAGGTTTTGAATCAGGTCAGAGGATCAGTTGTTTATTGTCAAAATCCTGAAGCTCTCTATCTCTACTTGCCAGGAAAGCTGTTTAGCTTCCTGCCACTGTTTCAAAGAGCTACTCGTTTAAAGTGGCCTGTGCTTGACTTCTCCTTAGTGCAGCTCCCTGGAGAAGAGGAAACACAGTGTCACCCTGGGCCAGGGTTGGCTGCCCTGGGTGCATGACCTTTGCCATGCTAACCTGCCCTCATCTTGTCCAGCAGCATTAATTGCCTCCTAGGGCAGCTTTGTCGCCAGCTCTGGGAGGCTGGGACAGACAGCTCATGCTTCCACTAGTTAGGAGCCTGTAATAGCCACTTTGGGTCCTGGCATGAGAGAAGGAGAGGCTGGTAATACCCCTGCTTCAGAGCCCCATCAGAGTGGAGGAATCCTCAAAATGTGGGTTAGTTTCAGCTGAGCCCCCTCCCTCTCCATTCCAGGCTCTTCCTCATCTTGTTTCAGCTCTGCACCAAAACCCACGTGAGGAGGGCGTGATGCTATTTATTCTTGTTTCCTCCCTCTCTGAGATCCTATCAGAAACACCAGTCTGAGTCAGAGGCAGAGGCTGTGACTGAAATGAGAGAGAAAACTCGGAAATGCACAGATTTCAGCCCAGTGTGGCTACCCCAGCTCTTTGGAAAACTGGGCCTCAAAAATGTGTGAGATACTCAGCAAAACAGCAGCTAAAGAAAGACTATGTGAATTAGAAACTGCCTAGCAAGCAGCGAGAAAAGGCGTGGCTGGCTTGTGGTAGGTAAGGAACAGGACTCAGAGGAGTGTTGTAGCATGGGTGTTACATGACCTTCTACCCTCTTGCAATATCTGCTATTTTTGGACATTTGCTGAGAAGAATCCCTCCAAGATCGCTCCTCTGGTTTATTGGGTGGTGATAGCTGGGTTTTCCAGCACAAACAGAACTGTGCTACAGTGAGAGGTTTCCAGCAGTGATATTTTTCCACATGCATTTGGATGAAAAGTCTTTTAAAAGCCTACTCTCTGCATTTGGCAGGTAGGGGCAAGGTACAACAAACCAAAAACATATGTGCAAATATCCCTGTCCCAAACACTTAGATCTAGCTGTTTACAATACATTTCATTGCATATTAAGCAGCACAGATCTGGAAAGATCTGGAAATACTTCCTAAATCCAGATCTCCCAAGCAATAACCATGTTTTGGGCAGATTGCATTTTTATTGCCTTCACTGCCTTGCTGAGATGATATCCCAGTACTTAAGGTGAACTGTGTGAGTAATGGTACTTCAGCAGAATGGAGCCATTTACTTCTGCTGGAGTGAACTGGTGTTTAATGGTCTGTACAGTTACATGACCTCTGGTTGCAATCTGATCAGATAGCACAAACTAAATGCAGTGGAGTCTTGCTGATAATGGAGGCTCAGGATCTAGGGTATTGCCCAAAGTAGGGACAACTGTTCAGGAGGTGGCAATCTTATATCTGAAGCAGGAAAAGCCCATCACTGCTGGAAAAATTTGCAACCAGTCATGTCTTCAGTGAGAGGTCTAACTGAGAGATCTGGATGCTTTGTGTACTGGTTCTAATCACATTTAATTTTTCTTTGCAGGCTGTTAACAGCCCATTTTTGCCACATCCCAGATGTTTTGACTTAGTTTCCCTTCCTTCCATTCTGCCGTGCCCTCTGGTTGCAGGTCTGATAGGTTATACTCAGCCTCCTCCTTGGCCAGGCAGCAGTACAGGTCCAGATGTGCAGCCTTGCTATTTTCTGCTAAAAAGCTGCTATGGAATGGGTGCACCTAGCAAATGTAAGCCATGTATTCTCATTAACCAGATCTGCTGCTCAGGTGTGTGAGAAAAGGGCACCTCGGTCCTTGCAGGCATGAATGGCTCACTGACTCCACTGGCCTGGTTTGACCATGCAAAGTCAGTCAGCTGCAGAAGTTTGATCAACAACACCTTTAATACAACACTTCAGCTTAGGCACCGTTGCTTATATAGTGCTACTTCTGAAATACTTTCATTTGGACCTTTTCATAATACACAGAAAAGAGTTGTACAAACTATTTCCAAAGCATTTGACCTCATTTTCAGCCTGTCAAGTGGGAGAGAGGCCGTGAAGCATAAGGAGAGTGGTTGGGACCAGGCAGGGAGTATGCAGCAATGGCAGCATTTGTGATATATGTTGTCCTAACAACAGCAACTTTCTCTAAGCCAAGATTTCCTGTGCTAACATCTTGAGGAATCCTTGAGTATGGCCTGTTACCTGAAAGGCACTTCATGCTCTTGGGGGGAGGGAGGAGGTGAGAAAAAAAAAATGATGCTGCTGCTGCTTTTAAACTGAATTTAGCACTGAGGAGAGTAACTTGTTCCCAAACCTGGAGCCTGAAGCTCTGTCTTATGCACAGGGCATGGGAAACAGGCAGAGCTGGAGCAAATATCCCTGTCCTGAGTTTTCTAGGTGAATGGAGACCTTGCATCCATGCATGTGAAGTGCTGCAGGAAAGGGGCAAGTGTTGGTGATAGCCAGACATTTTCTTGTGGACTTTACTGAGCCTATGTAGTGGCCAAACTTTTTACAGACCTCAGAGTACCAGCCCCCAGTAGTCTGCTAATGGTGCTTACACTGCTTTCAGGAAAGCAAGGTAAGGGGCCTAAAACCAGTGACCTGGGCACGGTTACATGACAGGTTTGTTGCAAGACAAGCAGTTATACCAGAGCCTCCTGAATCCTTCTTTTGGGTTAGAGCAGCTTCAGTTCCCCATTCAGATCTCAGCCCCAGAACCAAACAGCTAATTTGGGCCTATTGCAAGTGAGATATGAACCACGGAGGATTGAAAGTCACTTTTCTCATCTTGCCAACAGTTACCAACTGGAATTTGACAGCTAAGCACTGCTAGTCTGTGCTTCATCTAAGCTGGCAGCCTTTTTGCTGAAGTCAAGGTCACCAGGAGTAGCACAGTACAGTGAAGAGCCAATTAAAGCACACCTGAGCCACCTGGGCACTCACAGCTGGTTTGATTTCTCATCCCTTCTGCTGCCCAGTTTTCACAATGCACATCTACGTATTTAGGTTATAACCCCAGAAGTGTTGCAACAAGTTAGGGCTTGGAGCACATTTTGTCTGCAATGTTTGCACGGTCTGTCTTGTGAGCAGCCAGGGCTGTCCCAGGCACGCCAGCAATGCACGTGGGAATGGCTGGATGAAACTTCCAGGTAGTGAGCAGGGCTTTAGCTCCCATCCCATTGTAACCCCAATGGTGTCAAGCATAAGTTCCCTGAAACTGAAACCTCCCTACCTACTCCTTGCCTGCAGCTGTTACCCAGAGAGCTTGTGGAGCTACAGCAGTACAGATCAGTGGTCTTTGGGAAAGAAAGGGCAAGCACCAGAGTGGTGCTGGCTCAGGCAGCTGCTCACACCCTGCCTACCAAAGCAGTGATCTTCATTCAGAATCTGATCCAATTCCAGCCCCTGCTGGCTTCACAGGAAAAATACTGTGGGGTTCTCAGGAAGCACTTGCACAACAGCCGATACCAGGTGAGCTGCGGGCCGAGACAGATGTGTCGTCAAAGCAGTGTTGCCATATGTGTTGCAAGGATGAATGAAGGACATTGGCATTTTGTGTTATTCATATCTAGAGGACCATTTGCTCTTTTCAAATGTAACCAAAATGGAGGGGAGAAGGGGATAGCCATGGTTGTGACTTTAAGACACCAGTTATGAGTGTGAATGTGTACCTGGCACAAAGTCAGTTCTTTCAGTAATGCTTATGTTGCTTTTATGCTTTTGTAGAAAAATCACCAGCGGATTAAGACCAAGAAAATGGTACGGGCCTTTGCTTCAAGAGAAGGGCTATGACCTGGTGGTGTGAAATTACTGTTTCGAAATCTTTCCCTTCATATTTGACATTTGCTTTACACCTGCCCAGGAGCTCTGACCCATCTCTCATGAACAAACTCTAAGCATAAGAGAGCACAAGTGAAGGATATGAAGAATGAAGAGGGAAAGCACCAACTGATGGGAAAAGTCCTCTCTTTAATGAACCATAAGCCTTCCAGCCTGAGGAGTTGTCTATGGCTCACAGTGGAACGGGAGTGCTGGGGTGGATGAGAGGGCTTGGAGTGGTGCACCTTCCCTGACCTGGTCATATATGCTCCTTGTGACCTTTGATTAAATACTAGTTGTTTCTCTCTGAAAATCATTTGCTTTCCACCTACTGTGTCAGTCCTCAGAAAAGCTTGCCTTGGAAAAAAAAGGCCTGGTCATCAGCCTGGTAAGTCAGGCTTCTTGTCTCCTCTCTCTCTCTCCTGACCTCTTTTCTCAGCAAGAAGCACATTTGTTGCAGACCCACAGAGTCCACATCAAAAATCTCTGCTTTAGCTTCCCTGGATCTGGGAATATCCAGAGAATTAGAAGAGGGAAATGAGAACAGAAGATGATGCAGGGAGGTATCAAAATAAATAGACAGAAAAAATTAGATCAATGTGTGATCCCAGGCTACCGGATGGGTATGTGAAGGAAAGGAAGGAACAGGACTTTTAGAAAAGAGTTCTCACCCTAAGGGAAATAGGTGAGAGACATGGCAAATTTTATTATAAAGGTCTCCAAGACTGAAAGACGTCAAAAGGCTGCTAAGAGCAGGGAAACAAAACAGTATTCATCTTGGAAAATGTGAGACATAGGGATCACCACAGCTATGGAGAGGTTCACATTTTTCCTTAGATGGCCCTTGTTTAGTTATGCTCTGCACCAGGACTTACAGCACAGCCCTGCTGATGCCACAGCTGAACCCTGCAAGGTTAGCAAGTGTCTGCAATGGCTGGTCCCAAATCACGTGCCACATGGCTTTCCTTCTTGGCCAGCACCCAAGAAGGAGCTGTAGCAACTCCACAGGGCCCATCTCCGCCCCTGTCTGCCTGGAGGCCTCCCAGTGTCCCGGCCAGCTGGGGGTGGGGGCTGGGAGGACAGCGGTGCTGGTGTAACTGGTTTAGGCTGCATACCAGACCAGAGGCGGTGCCAGACAGCACTGCCCCGGCCCAAGGGCTGCTCCGCTCCTGGGCCCCTCCGCGGGGCACGGCAGCAGCAGGGGCCGGCACCCCGGCTCCTCGGCCCCTCCGCGCGAATGGGCTGCGCTGGGCCGAGGGCGAGGGAGCAGCTTCCACTGAGGAAGGGCCCGTGCTCGCAGGTGGCCGTGGGAAGGCAGTGTGGCGTCGGAGCGAGCAGGAAGGAGCACACACCGGTGCTAGGCCCAGCTGCGAGTCAGGCCGGGGGAGCGAGGAGCGCGGCGAAGCCTCAGGTGCCTCCGGCAGGCCGAGCGAAGGCCGGAGGTGCCTCACATCAGCGCCAGCCACGCGTGCTCAGGGTCAGGGCGCCGCCCGGGGCACCGGCAGTGTCACGGGCTGGTCTGCAGGCAAGCAGTGTCCTTGCAGAAAAGTAACTCTCAAAGTCCCTCTCTTTTGCTGTCCCAAGTTGCCCTTGATGGTAGTGGAAAAAGCCACAGTGGGAGTCCTGTTCTGCAGCATTTTCTCCTTGAACTCCAGAAGGCAAGTTGATGTTGCTGTAAATGCAGCAACACACTTCGCCACTGAGGCATTTCTGTGTGGTTGACAGGGATTCTGCTTAAATGTCACACAGGAGGCCAGAAATATGTTATCCTAGCCTTAACGGCTCTTTCTGCTCCTCCTGCTCTAAGGATGGGCATGAAATAATGAAAAGGGCATCAGGGAAGGATAGCTAGCCCCTGTCTTCTACTAGTCAAAGTCTTAGCTGGAGATTGCTGCTCTGGAGGTCATTAAGCCAAGGAAGCCTCCTTGGAACAAGCAAAGTATCAAATACCTAGACCTTGAGCTGAGACTCGGTCCTCACTGCTATCAGGCTAGAAAGCATGAAGCCAGGCAGGATTATTTCCTATTTTTGTTTGCATTTCTTTTGTCTTGAGGCCCTGTCTTGAGGACAGAATTAAGAAACTTACCCTTGTGCTTCTTTGGGAATTTTTGCATGCTTCATGGATCCTGGGAACATGCAAACTTCCCATCCCCTTACCACAGATTGTATGGGTTTTTAACCCCTGTTTTCTGCAATGCATTCCAGTGAGAAATGTGTCTTGTAAGTGTTTTGTCTCAGATCATCCTGCCCTCCACAAACCAGGACTTGTGGAAAGGAAATCTGTTCAGGCTAAGAATGTGTTAACTATTCATTGCTGACTCTCCCATCAGGGGCTGTGAGCTGTGCTGGGGATTTTGTGCTGGGGATTTTCCACCAGCTCTGCCTATTCCAGCTTTTCAGCTGGGTGCATTTTCCCACAAAGATGTAGTCTCAGAAGTGCCATCTTCACTGCTTAGTCACTCAGGTAAAGAAAATAATTTGAGTGTGGTTCTCATGCTGCCTCCTTCCTACCAGGCACTTTCCTTCATCTTGCATTATAAGTGAGACTAAATCTTTCTGAAAATCTATGTGTCAGCACTGAATTATTTATAGTCATGTCAAACATTCCTGAGTATATGGACAAAACCTGGGATGAAGTATCCTAGTGTGCCACTGATGACAAAAAAGTTTTGTGCCAGTCAGAGAGCCAGCCTTGATGTGATGCAGACAAAGATGATTTTTGCACACTGGGGAGCGGGTGTCAGAGGGGTGGTGCTTGCTGTAGCAAAGTCAGTATGTTGTATTTTAGGATTACTTTAATAACCACGTCTATAATAATGTAATTTTCCCAGCTGCTGACTGCAGCAGCAGATAAAAACCTAGAATTATGTTTGTGAATTTGATAGAGGAGATTGCAGACTGTTCCCAGGCCATGTTTGTTCTCTTTGCCAAAGCCAAGTATTACTTAAATAGAAAGCTAGAAACACTATGCTTCAGCTGAAATATGACCCATTATACATGCCTGAGAAGCCACAATTAAAAACTCAAGAAATTCTAAATAATTTCCCCCAAATAAAACTATGGGAGGGAAGGTAATTTTATTGCTGCATAAATTATAAATCCAGATCTCACTTTGTTGATGCTTATTTTCTTTATATGCTATTCGTCCTTCTTTAAAGAATAGCACAGGCCTTATACATCTGCATGTAAAGTATGCAATAATACATCATTATCCTGCTTGTTCTTTATTCATTTTCTATTTAAAAATCTTACAGCAATTGGAGCACTCATCCTCATGTTCAAAAACTGCTTGACATTAGTAACTACGCTCTCCTGTTTCCAAAATAATTAAATCTCCACATCTTCACATTTTTAATTTCATTTCTGTGTTCTGACATATGTATTGACCAGCCCACTCCCGCTGCCCTCCACTAAAGGAAACCATGACTAACAGATCCTGTCTTCAGTTAGAGAAGGTCTCTCAACACAGGCACTTAGGAATTTTCTCTGGCTGCTTTGGTACTCGTTGCATTGTTCACACGAATGGGCTGGACCGTTGTCAAAGTAATGGTGAAATCTCAGCCAGACTTGAGAGGGTTCAAGTGGTCAAGGAATTATAGCCTTTCACCTGTTTTGGTCTTCTCAGTCTTATCATGGCAATATATGCTTGCTTGGTCACTCCCTTTCGAAAAACAGTCTGTCTGCTGAAAAAATAGATCTTTTGGTTTGCTCTATATTTAGGCAAAACCAATCTTAATTCCAGTACTATAGAAATGTATGCTTTTCTTTCCACCCTTCAGCTCAGAAAAAAGGGAAAACAAAAATTTGAGCAAATCCATCTATAACAGTGTAATATTTTACAAGTCTGTTTAATAGACAACTACAGCAGTGAGGAGGAAGTCTGACAAGTCACTGCTGCCCTTTATGTTGTTTGTGCTCTGAAGGCCATTCAGTTTCTTCACTGTCCTTCAGAGTTTGCAGATTGGGCTGTGATTTCTTGATGGGTTTAGTTCATGGGTATAAACTTATTTTCTGCTAATACCCAGATGGGGTAGAAATTTCAAAACCATAAAGAAACCATTGACATCCTCAATGTCCTGAGGGATGAGGACAGATTACTGAAGGGAAGAGTGAAATAAAAGGTGGGAAAATCAGAGTTGCTGCTGTTGGCTCCTTAGCAAAGCTGTGTGACTTCTCACAGTGGAGTGAATACTTGTCCCCAGGTTTGTTTTTCTAAGGGATAATGGTGGTATTGATAACATGTATATGGATTTTTCTGTATTAAGAATTTTTGCTGTCTTGTTGAGGTATACTAGTTGGGAGTATACACATCCAACTCATCACAGTTCTGGCCCTAGCATAATTTAAACTATACTTGGAAAAAAAAATTGCAGCATAGTCTGTTTAAATACCTGAGAAAATAACTTCTCTGTGGTCTGAATGGCCTCTCCATTACTGAAGTATTTTTGTCATGGCTCTAGCAATATATGCATATGCTGGAAAACATTCATTGTAGGCATACCCTAGAGGAACTGGTGTCCAGCTGGCTTAGAAGGTCACCTATGTATCTAACTCTCTCAGACCCACTCAAAATCACTGGGGAAACTAAAGTTTACCTTTAGGAATAACAGTTTAACACATTTCCCCAAGTTCCTTCCCACCTCTGTGAGGTCTTGATGAACAATGTGGTATCATCTTCTCTCAATCCCAAATCCAGTTTACCTGTTGCTCACCCTGCCTTCAGTGCTGCCTTTTACACCAGGCAATAAAGCTGGCAGAGGAAGCTTGGGCTGGGCTGGAGAGAAGGTGGAAGGGTAGGATGAAATCTATCAACAACATGTTTTTAATTGGCAAATAGAGGGACATTTCCCTTTAGTGAGAAGACCTGCACCTGTTATGCAAATTAAGTGGAATATTTGCAGTGTCATACCAGTTTGGTTAAGTTCCACTTGTTTTAAGATACACAGAAATGAAAAGCCTCTTTTTCCCTTTCTTTTCTGCCTCTGGAGTTAATGCATTTAACTCTCAAAGAGGAGACAGCTGATTGTTAGCTTCAGATTCTTTTGATGTTAATTTTATTTTTAAAGAAGCTTGCATATTATTCTAGATTAATTATATCTTTCTGTAAATAAAATTGTTGGAAGGGGTCCACCTCCCTCCCCTCATTCTGCTCAGTTTCTTCCTTGATTTCTTTCATGTGTCCCTTCCCTAGTGAATTAATCTGAATGTTATGTGGTGTTAATTAAGGATCTTAATTGCATATTTGTCTTTACAAAGCCTGCCAGTGTGTACAGGCAACTATGATTGATTGACAGCATGTGAAGAACAATGGAGAAGCCTTAACAAGGCTTGGCAAAGCAATTCAATCAGTGGAGAGCATGCTCAGGGGAAGAGCTTCATGCAAGGAT